GGGAGTGTCATGGTCTGGGGCTGCATGAGTGCTGCCGGCACTGGGGAGCTACAGTTCATTGAGGGAACCATGAATACCAACATGTACTGTGACATACTGAAGCAGATCATGATCCCCTCCCTTTGGAGACTGGGCCGCAGGGCAGTATTCCAACATGATAACAACCCCAAACACACCTCCAAAACAACCACTGCTTTGCTAAAGAAGCTGGGGGTAAAGGTGATGGACTGGCCAAGCATGTCTCCGGACCTAAACCCTATAGAGTATCTGTGGAGCATTCTGAAACAGAAGGTGAAGGTGCACAAGGTCTCTAACATCCACCAGCTCTATGATATCATCATGGAGGAGTGGAACAGGACTCCAGTGGCAACCTGTGAAGCTCTGATGAACTCTACATCCAAGAGGGTTAAGGCAGTGTTGGAAAATAATGGTGGCTGCACAAAATATTGACACTTTGTGCCCAATTTGGACATTGTCACTTAGAGGTGTACTCACCTTTGTTGCCAGCGGTTTAGACATTAATGGCTGTGTGTTGCATTATTTTTGAGGGCACAGTATGTTTACACTGTTATACAAGTTGTATACTCACTGCTTTACACTGCAGCCAAGTGTCATTTCTTTCAGTGTTTTCACATGAAAATATATACTAAAATATTTATGAAATGTGAGGGGGTGTACTCACTTCTGTGATATACTGTACAGAGAACCGTAACAGTTGTGGCTACCTGACATAGCATATGTGCTGTGCGATTTGTCCCTTATTTTATTCCTCTCACTTCAGGTTACATGGAGAATACTGGCTTATACTAGTCTTGCAGCTGGAGTGTTTTTCTGCCACTCCAGTCAAATTATGTACATAGAGCAGGGAGGAAAGTGGCCTTTATCTCAGGCAGCAAAAGGTCATGGGAAGGACACTAAATGATTTAAGAACTCCACACCAAAAATTGGGGAACATAACAGTAATGGGGTGCCATTTGGAAAATGTGGGCTGAAACAGCATACTATGTTAGATGATTAGTGTGCAATTTAATGTTCCTTTAAAAAGGGAGGGGACACCTTTGAGTGAACGTGTGTGGTCCCAATCCAATCATGTACAAGTGGAGTGGATTTAAGTTAGGCCTTGAAGCATTACTTTTGGTAAACAACAACTCCCAACCATCAGGTAGGCCATGCTGGCTAGAAAGTCTGAAAGTACTACTTAGAATAAGTAACTGCACACTACCTCTTTAACGTAATGCCTAGCTGAGCCCTTAACAACAGCAACAGCCAGTTCATTCACACACAGAGACACACAAACCTCTTCTCTGCCCCCAAAAAGTTATGCATTGCTGCCTTGTGTTTCTTTCCCTTTCTCAGACCGTGTCAGTGTCAGTTTCTGTATTAACTCTCAGCTGCATTGCTCTGGATCGGTGGTATGCCATTTGTCACCCTCTGATGTTTAAAAGCACAGCCAAGCGGGCCAGGAACAGCATTGTCGTTATCTGGATGGTGTCCTGCGTTATCATGATTCCCCAGGCGATCGTCATGGAGTGCAGCAGCATGTTCCCAGGACTGGCCAACAAGACCATCTTATTCACCGTTTGCGATGAACGGTGGGGGGGTGAGTCTGGTCCTTCATATGTTTGGAATAAGCCACTGCCATTTCCTAACAAAAGCCAAAGATTTGACAAGCCTGCAGTCAGTACAGGAACCTCTGTCGAGTCCTAATCATAGGATATGGGCTCTCCATAACCTTTCGTACTTTCCCTCCTTTCCTTTGTTTAAGTCCTAATCATAGGATATGGGCTGAAACCATTACTCTCCATAAACTTTCGTACTTTCCCTCCTTTCCTTTGTTTTTGATTGTGATGGCCAGAATTCTGTTAGGGAGCAGAACTCCATCAGTATAAATTTCAGCAGAAGATAGCGGCAAATGAAGAATATGGCATAGGTAGATGCTACTGAATGTGACTCCATATGTGAAGGCCTACACTGAGTTATAAATTTCCTGCTGAAATATGTGCTAGAGTGAAGTCAGTGTAAATACATAATAGGATTCTGGTTAATTTTCAGTCTAAATGGGTTGTATGACCAGTTTTCTTTAGAGTACATTTCTTCTAGTTTTTCCTTTCAGAGCCCTCAAACTTTTATTGAAGGGTTCCTTCACTGTAATTGGCCTTTGTTTATATGACCAATAACTTAGAGATCTCAAGGACTGCAGAAAGAGTCTTTTTGAAGGGGAAAGGGAGGTTTGCTGACAGCTAAACTGTGGTACAAAACATGTCCATGTAACTTCAGAAGTTACTAAGAAGAGTCTGAAACTGACTCCATATGTGAAGGCCTACACTGAGTTATAAATTTCCTGCTGAAATATGTGCTAGAGTGAAGTCAGTGTAAATACATAATAGGATTCTGGTTAATTTTCAGTCTAAATGGGTTGTATGACCAGTTTTCTTTAGAGTACATTTCTTCTAGTTTTTCCTTTCAGAGCCCTCAAACTTTTATTGAAGGGTTCCTTCACTTTAATTGGCCTTTATTTATATGACCAATAGATCTCAAGGACAGCAGAAAGAGTCTTTTTGAAGGGGAAAGGGAGGTTTGCTGACAGCTAAACTGTGGTACAAAACATGTCCATGTAACTTCAGAAGTTACTAAGAAGAGTCTGAAACTGAGTATTAAGTTGCAACTAGAGTAGGCCCATTGGATCCATGGTGAACTGACTCACCAAATCTCCACTGATTCAATGGACCTACTTTCCTTGCGACTTGCTACTGGATTCCAGTCACAGTCAAACCACAAAAAGGGTGAAATTGTCCCTCGTTGCCTTTTCAACATTAGTAACACTACTTATGCCTTAGCAATTGGAGGTGGGTGGGGAATCATTACAAGCAACTCCTCATTTGTTATTTCCAAACTCTGAGGCTCTCATACACTGACCCCAGGCGAGCCCCTGGCCCTGCAAAGATCAGAGGCTTCATCACACCATTGGTGGGGGTGGGGGTAGTGGGTCACCCAATGCTTGAATTGACATTTTCACTCAACAACGTCTATATCAGGATTCACTGACCTTGGTGAGGAGACCAAAATGCCTCCTTCCCCTTTCCCATCCCGTCAGTCAGGTGTAATTATATATATTGGTGGAAGCTTTCCTTTTATTGAAAGAGCAAAGATCTGTAAGTGGCTGTCATGCGAAGTATGTGCCCTCAATTTTCTTTGAAGCGTCGGGCTCTGACGGCTTCCCAGCTTCAGAGACGACTTCAAAGGAAATGGGCGAGTGCTTCGCCCATCCTACTCCATCTTTCACTTTGATGTACCTTGGCTGCCCCTGCATTTTCTTCCCCTTTTTTTATTTTAAATACTTGCATTGTTAAATTAGAAACCATAAACGTGGAAGGGTTGTGGAAATAAATGCTGCAATTATCCTTGTGCTATACCGCCTGAAGGTCATGGTACAGGCAGGTGGTGGCTGTTTATGAGATTTCTTCATTCTGCCACTGGCTGAATGAAGCTGAAATGCATCAGATGATGGCAATTTCCCCTGCAGTAAAACTTCAATTACAGTTATAATTCCTTGAGATGGAAATGTTCTTAAGGAGTATCCTCTCTCCTTCTGTATTATATAGACTGGGCACGACGACTAAAATAACTCTGGTGAATCAGAAGTCTACAAATGAATCCAGACCAATGTTATGTCTGCAGATGCAGAACAATGGCAGTTCATGCATGCATGCTGATAGAAAGCTAGGATCGGAAAAGACCCTAACATTCTGGTTCTTGTATCCTATCAGCTATATGATGGCTGTAATCCTGTTGCTGCAAATCACAATACATAAGGTTGATTACCTCATTGACTATGGTGATTTTTCAGAAATGAAATATTTCCCAACATTCCCAATTTCCTCTACAAAAGTCCCAAGGCTCCCTTGGAATCCCTTTTGTCCCAAGGAAGCCCTTTGGAGCCACAAGATAACAGAGGGGGAAAAATCTCTCATTACAGAAAAGCATTCCCAGCAGGATAACTTAGCAATGGCTATTTTTAGTAATTAGAGATTCGTCCTTCCCCTCCCACAATCCCCATGGTTTCCTGATGATGAAAGAGACTCCATGGGAACCTCAGGACTCTCTTCAGGAGTTGAAATCAGAAATGTTTAATTTAGCCAATATCCATCTGCGTAGCTCAACTTGGAAATCACGCAGTGATTTAGTGCAATACAGCCAGCGTTACAGCAACAGTTGCTGGGTCTCAGGGCACAGACTGAAAACACAGGGGACTGCTTGACTTCCCTAGGCTTCCAGGTAGGGAGACAAATCTTAGGGTAGGCGATGTGTGTGTGTGTTCTCCACTCCCTACTGGCAGCATGGCTCTCTCATTCAGCATGATGGTATTCCTTTCAGTTTTTCACACATTATATGTCCTTAGGAGACAGTGTGGGAAATCCACCCCAGGCACACAAACACACACACAATAATCTGGATTCTGCTCTATGTAACTTTATGCAAAAGCCTGCATTGTCCTCTCCTTAGCTGGCATCATATATAATCAGGGCTCAGCTATGACTGGCACCTGTGCTAGGACTTCCTTGCATTGCAACTGTTGGCACATGTGAATTGGCTATATCTTTGTGTAATTATACTCTCATATCGCCACATAGGCAATGGACTTCCATGCTTGCTTTAAGGTCCCAGTGAATTCTATTTACATCTCCTATTCACGTTCTAATTGGCCTTGAAGCACTCTGTAATGATTTGCTCAGTGCAGCATGAGCCCTGACTAGAGACAATCTGTCGATATATGAATAATTGGCATACAAATGCCAGAATGCATGCAGTTGGAATGGCATTCTTCAGTAATCAAAACCGAATATTATGTAAGTCAGAATGAAAAAAATTAGCCCTGAAGATACTGGAGCTGTAGTGCCAAGCCACTGTAGTCTGGACTGATAAAGCTCATGCAATCATGATTTTTGTGTCACCCACCTGAGAAGCTGCAGGAAGAAGGACCTTTTTTTTCTGGATCTTTGGAGAGCTGCTACAAATCAGTGCAGACGGATGTAATGATTACCGGGGGCAAAATTTTCTTTCTTCATGATTTCTCAAGTCTTCTCAACACAATGAGCCTTTCCCTGCACCAGCAAGATTTTCTGATTTCTGGCAAAAAGAAGACCCTGACCTCCCGTTCCTCTCTCCCTCTCTTTTTTGCTCTCTCTTTCAGTTTCCACCTGTTGTTTTGAACAGGAAGCAGCCAGTTCTGCACAGCTTGAGGTCCTTTGTAGAGAATCCTGCACAGGAAGGATGTCATTCCATATAGGAATTGTGAGAGTCCTGAGTAGGCTGGCATTCTTTTTTTTTTTAAGACCATGAAACTTCCAAAGATTTCCTGCAATATTTCTTGTGGGGTAAAAGCTCTCATACAGAGAAATCTCTCTGAAAAATATATAAGACTTTTTCATGTCTTTTTCTCTGAGACCAGCTGCTGCAAGAGTCACATTCCCAGTACAGACAACACTTGAGTTGGATGGGCCCATGATCTGACAAAGACCAAGGCAATTTCTTATGCGTTTAATGAAATTGTTCAGGATATTCCAGCTGTGTGCTCCTCCCCCTCCCAACTGATCAGGTCCCACTCTAATCTGGTGTGCTTATTTAAAAAAGAAGAAAAAAAATTAAGAGCCACAAAATATTCTCCAGAATTAGTGCAATTTCAGATTCCCCAAATGTTGTCCATTCAGTAAAATATATTTATTTTGTATGTAACATATTTGTGTGGCACATTCTTTTTAACAAGCCTAAAGAAGCGATTACTGCAGTAATACACAGCAATGGGGCATCTTTGACCAAGTGATTCCCCCAGATGCCTTCTGAGGAACATCAGTTCCATACAGGACTTGGAGGTGCCTCTGAATGATGACACAGATTTCCAGTCAAACTGGAATGACGGGAAACATGGGCAAATCAGAAGCAAACACGTTGCCTGTTTAGAAGTGGTTCAGGGAACTGGCCTTTACATGAAGGACCATCTGTTGTTGTCTTTAGAGCTGTGGTCCCCAAACCTGTTATCAGCAAATATTGTTGGACATCAGCTCCCTTAAGCCTGAACCAGAATGGCCAATGTTCAGAGATTCTGGAAATTGTAGTCTAACACTTCTGGAGATCCAAGTTTGGTGATTATTGCTTCTGTAGGACTTTAAGAGCAAAGGTGAGAAAGTTGCTTAGCCATGGGTTCCTTGAGCACAGCTGCTGTAATGTTTAAAGGCTTGATACCAGGTAGGATAACACATAATATCACAATCTGGGTGATAAGATTTAATGGGGGGGGAATGTGTTTTGATGGAAAGGATTTGAGTTTCAGGTGACCCTATCTTTTCAGCCTTTTGACTATGGAAAGCCCATGTCTAGACAATCAGATTTAATCTTTAAAAGCCAAAATATGAATGATGCCTTTGTCTGCATACATAGCCTGTTGATCTTCCTTCCCACGAGCTGCAAGAGAAATAGGAAGCCCTTCTTTTACCATAGTTTCCTACTTCATGACATCAGGGGAGCTATGGTTAACAGCTTTGGAACATGCGAGATGCAAAGCCACCACTTCAAAGGGAAATGTTCAGTTGAGCCAAAGAGGGAAGCATAGTTTATTGCCATTTTCCTGGTTTGTTTACACCATGGAGGGAAGAGGGGTCTATAGGTGCAGATTTGCTCATATCTTGTCTTATTAAATCAAAATATGATCATCTGAACTAAGCAAAACCAAGAAGCCATGAAGAGATGTTATTTATCTGCCTTTTGTTTTTCTTTGCAGCTGAAGTCTACCCCAAAATGTATCATACGTGTTTTTTCTTGATTACATATATGGCCCCACTGTGTCTTATGGTATTGGCCTATTTGCAGATATTTCAAAAGCTGTGGTGCCGACAGGTAAGGTGTTTTACTAGCAAGATCTATTTCTGTCATTCTTCAGTGCCAACATATTTATGTATTTTAGTGAGTGGTTAATGGCATAATGTCTAATATCTAATTAAAGATGGATATTGTTCTGCCCAGATCCATCAAAGCACAGGTCTACATAACTCATCTGCAAATCCTTAATTCAGATCTCTGAGGATCTGTCTAAATATCTAAAATGTAAAAATTTCTTGCTAAGAGGAGATGGCCTGTTAGTTGTATCTGAGTAAAGATGCAATGAAATAAGCTGGGGGTGGAGGGGAATTGTCTAGAATAGAGAAAGACATTTCAGAAATATTGGCATCACACTTCTGTGTCACTTGTTTGTTTCCTCTTTGGATTGAAAAAGTAAGTTAAAGGCATTAGCAGAAGCTGCTGTGACTTCCACTTACGGAAAATAACACATTAGTGTTGTTCAAGTGTAGTCACCACATTTGAGAGACAATTAACCGAGCAGCCCCACTTAACACCTTTTATTGATTGTTATTTGACACTTCCATCACGTCAATAACATTGGGTTGAGCGCTCATGCCCTAGTTGGCTGTTGGAGCCTATGAAAATCATAAAGCACATTCCCCCCCCACCTTCCATTTAGAACGCATTAAGAGAGTCACTTGATCATCAGTTAATCTTGCCATTCTCATCTTTCTATGCATAACAAATGATGGTTTCCATGTCCTGGTTAGAGGGTCTTTCAAAACGGGTCTCTGATCTGTTGACTGGGCTTTCCCTAGCTTTTGGGGGGAATAGGTTTCCATGGCTATGGCATCCTTTTGTTTGTCTTATACTTATCTTGTATGGCTAGTCAGGTATCTTAGGGATACCTTGCAACCATGGAGCACCAGTGAAACACCGTAGCTAGTGGTATTAATTTGACATGGTTAGCAAACCCAGGACGGTGTGCTCTTAAGTATGGTTATTCTCTCTTTTTTTTAACAATGTAAAATCTTCCTTGAATTTCACTTTGTATGATTCAATCACAAAAGATTTTACATTCATGCTTTAATAAAAACAAAATGATTTTGCAAGGATCTCTTGCATTTTGCCAACAGAAAAGTGACTAATAAGAACCTCTGTGGGGTGTGCGCATGCGCGCATATCTATCTGCTTCGCAGCTGCAGCTGCTCAATCAGTGCAACAAATTTTCCCTTGGGGCAAATAGCAATAATTAAGATTCCAATTACTCTCCTCTGTCAGATTCCAGGAACGTCATCTGTGGTTCAGAGAAACCGGAAGCCTGTGCAATGTGCAGCACAGACCCGAGGGCCGAGGCCATCAGCAACTTTAAGGATTAGTGCCGTGGCAGCTGAAATCAAACAGATTCAAACTAGGAGGAAAACAGCACGTATGCTTATGGTCGTTCTCCTGGTTTTTGCCCTCTGTTATCTCCCAATTAGCATTCTCAATATATTAAAAAGGTAAGTTTTATACACAAAGAGTCCAGGGGATTTTCTGATGTACAAGTAACCAGCTGTGTTACATAAGTTAGTTTGGAACAGATGTCACTGCATTAAATAATCAAAGGACTAAGATTTCGTTTGCAACTGTAGATCAGTTAGATAATCTTATAACCATGGTCATTGAGGTAGAATTAAGGAAAGAAAAATGCCAGCAGCACTGAGAAGAGATGACCATATGAAAATTGTTGTTTTCTTCCGAATTGTCATCAAAGTCAATCAGGTAGAAACACAGTGTGTTTCAGAGATCTCAGGAAGAAACTTTCCATTTCTACCTTCTGAAATCCTTTTAATTGGAGATCTTGAGCATTGAATTTTGGATGTTCAGCGGGTGAGAAAAGAGCTATAGTAGTACAGCCCATCCTCAATGTGACATCATTTCGATTCTGAGGAAGAAAAGGCAAGCACAGGATTTATGCCCACACTATATCCAGGCCAGCCTGACTGGCTGTAGACATCGCTGCACCAGAAGGGAGGTTCGAGAAGCTCTGAGCACCTCAGCTGCTACTTAAGCCACGCATGGGGTAAAGGCAGCAGAGGAAGAGAGCACAGTAAGAATGGAAAGAAAATGGAAAAGCCCATCTGGGTATAACAAGGCCAGTGCCAAACTAAGGTCCAGATCAACCTTACGGTCTGGGGCTCAAGCAACATATGGCACTGATTTGTCCGTTGGGTGCATGGCAAGAATTTTAAAAGAATTAATAATAGATACAGAAGGACTGTGACAAGAGCATGAAGGGACACTGGAATTCTTCCTTCTTTAGCCATGATCCCAGTTATTATTAGGGGGGGAAAGTTCCCATCCACACATCACATGATCATGATCCCAGTTATTATTAGGGGGGAAAGTTCCCATCCACACATCACATTTTTGTTGTTGTTTTGCTATGTGCCATCATGGTACAAGTGATGTAACCAGCTTTAATGAGGTTTTCAAGGTATGTTACACTTTAAAGGGGTGGTACCATGGCCACCCTGACTGAGTTTCTGTGGCTGATCCCAGATGTCTTGAGTCCATGTCTGTCTCTTTATCCACTACTTCACATAAACCATTCTCTCCCCCCCCCCCCCCCAGTGTGATGGGGGATTCCACCGGGATTACAGAATGACTCCTCCCCTCCCTGCATACTGCAGACCGAATGAATCTCCCACGGGCCTATTATTGAATTATTTAAAATCCCCAGCCCATATTTCGCTCCACATCTTCTTCAGTGCTGGAGAAGAAAGCACTGGGGTTAAGGTGAAAGCAAGGAGGGATTAAAGGATGGTAGGACCTACTTCAGGACACTAGAGGGCACACCTGCCCAGGGTCAAGGGACTTGGGAGAGTTGATGGTGTTGCTATGGAGAAGAAAGGAATCGCAGCAAGGGGAAATTCGTGTTCTGTGCATGATGACCAGCACGTTGAAATGTGAGTTTTTGGGTTACAACTCGAGATTCCAGTGGCCATGGTGGGTGGGGATGTTGCCAGCTGTAGTCCCAAAAGTAACATCTTTAAGTTCTAAGGATGAACCAGCTTCTCAGAGGAATAAGGGATAAAGCAAAACTACAGGTTATCTGCAGAATTGTGATAAGCTGTAACAGAATTGTGGGGTTGATTAAGACATGCTGAAGCCCTACACTGTATCAAATGCTAAGAAGCCCTGCAGAATCATCCCTAATAAGTATTATTGTAACAATTATGTTCACATTGAAAATGCATCCAGAGGCTTCCTCTTACTCTAATGGACTAAGATGGAATTTACGTAATTATTATTATTACATGTCATCAAGTCAATTCTGACTTGTGGCAGCCCCTTCCAGAGTTTACCGGGTATACTGTAGATAACTGAGAAGTGGCTTCTCGTTCCCTTCTGTTTGGCACATTTGGGAATCATGTAGCTCACTCTATTCTACTTAGTCTGGATCTTTTCCTATAAGATACAGTAGGAAATCAGACTCCCCCATCCCGGTTGGCAATTGTGCTCTCAGGACAGCAAGGAAGGTAAGCTGTCACAAACTTTTAGACGGTGTTGATAGAACCTTTATTATGAAATAGATGGTGCTGCTGAGGTTAGGTCTCCTGCATGTGTCAAAGCTGAACATTTCCCCAGGACCTCAAGATTAATCAATATTGCCTCCCAAACATTGTTACCCTTGCTTTTCACCAAGCATTCAAAGCCATAAGTATCAGGAAAGAATTCTTGGTTTGTACAGTTCTTCCGGGGTTCCAGTGGAATCTGTGTGCACAGACAGAACAGGATGCCTGTTGGATCAAGTTGGAAGCACCAACAGTGGCCAACCTGATAGAATAGAGAGACTGGGATCAGGATGAGAAACCTGTGGAACAGCAGCATGATGTTCTCTTTGATTAGAAGATAGATTCTATATCTATTTCCTGTTCCCCTTTTCCATACCAGAGAGAGAAGAAGAGAAAAAAATGCCACCCCCACCACAACTGTAGTCTGAGTTAGGGGATATAGTAAATGCAAAAAGCAAGAACAATAGCCCAATAAAAGAGAGCCCAGAAAAGAGATTTTTAAAAACCCACAAATCTATGCCCTTCTCTTCTAAAAGTACAGTATTCCTTCAGTAAAATTCCATGTTAATTCATTCTCTCTGCTCCCTATAGTCACTGAATTCCAAAAGCCAAAATATTTTGCAACATACCTGGCTTTCTTTGATTAGCCTCTGTTGTAGATTGTACTTTGCTACAAAGCTAGCGAGTCGTAATTATCTTCAGGTAAATGATTTATTTGCCCAAGGTCTGAAAATATTAAAAATATTACAGTGGACCCTCGACTTACAGATGGCTCAACTTACAGACTTTTCGAGTTACAGACTTCTCTGGCCGCAAAATTTAGATTCGACTTGCAGCCGGAGAATCAACCTACAGACAAGAAAAAAACCAAAATGGAACAAAAATAGAACAAAAATGGTCAGTTATGGGATTAATCGGTTTTCAATGCATTGTAGGTCAATGGAGACTCGACCTACAGATTTTTTGACCTGCAGCCACTGTTCCAATACGGATTACAGTGGTGCCCCGTATAGCGAGGTTAATCCGTTCCGGATTAACCCTCGCTATACGGAATCATCGCTAAACGGGTAGGGGAAACGTATTGAAACGCATTAAACTTCGTTTAATGCGTTCCAATACCTTTGTTACTTACCCGTTCAGCGAATATAGCATGGTCTCTGGTGTCCTCTAGTGGCCAATTCTAGTAATGTTTGTGAAAATACATTTTTTTGTGGGTTAGGTTTTTTTGTCCTTTTACCATGCTATATATCTAGTGTTTGCTCCTCCTGGGGAGAGGCTTGGAACCAATCCCCAATGGATATGGGGGTCCCATTGTACTCCTTTTTAGATTATCAGCACATCTCTTACAGAAGAGGGGACTGGAGACTTCTAAACAATTGATCAGTGGTGTCTGTCTATCGGTGTGCTAGTTTAGCTCTGTTGTGCGTTCTGGTTAGGGGAACCATAGGCACCTTTCCTCATCCAGCTAAGGATATGACTAGTTCTGTGTAGATGTAGTCCTTAGCTGAATCGCACATGGGATAAATATTGGCAGCCACATATAAAATTAGCACTCTTTCAAAGAACGGTCATAGACTTTCATATTTCTACAGTCAGACGTGATGGGATGGTTGCATCTACATGGATTTTGATTTATTTGTAAAAAAAAAAACAGCTCAGCTATTGCCAACTATCATGTAAAAACTTTTTTCAACTTGATTTGCAACATCAAGATTAATTTGAGATGTTTTATACTTTCCTCTCTCTTTTTTGTAAGGGTATTTGGTTTGTTCAACAGCGCTGCTGACAGAGAAACTGTATATGCCTGGTTTACATTCTCCCACTGGCTTGTATATGCAAATAGTGCAGCAAACCCAATTATTTATAACTTTCTTAGTGGTAAGTAGATCTTCTTCAACCAATGTAAAAAAGAGCTAATTAATAAAAAGCTACTACAGAACATTTTATGTCCAATAATCTACTCCATCATAGGAGAGGTTACTATACTTCCTATTTCACAGATCAGAGACTTAGAGAATCTTAGTTACCTGTGCTGATCTGAGATATTTCTATTTGTGTTTTTAATTTTCTGGGCATTTTACTTTATATCAAGGGCAAAAATATTTTCTTTTCTTCACAAGTAAAATATATATAGCATGATTATAGCATTGGCCATTTTAATCATGCTATATATATTTTACTTGTGAAATGCTGATCTGAGATATTTCCATTGGTGTTTTTAATTTTCTGGGCATTTTACATTATATTGCATTTTTGCACAAACATAAATATATATATATATGGCCATTTTAATCATGCTATATATATATTACTTGTGAAGAAAAGAAAATATTTTTGCCCTTGATATCTACAGTATGCTCGCTAGCTACAGATTTAGACAAGAATCCCATTGGAAAAAGCAACATGCTGAAAAGCAATCATCCAAGTGGTTTCCCGCTTTGTGAAGTATCCATCACAAGACTGATTATGCAGTGGATGCATAGTGTTTTGTGATGCACACCCCGCCAAAGAAGGAAGCTGCTTACACAATTACCACTCTGTGCATATTTTTTTTCCTCCTGATTGGATTCTGGCCATAAGCAAAATCTCAAAGCCAGCTTTTTGGTACAGAAGGGTTGAGTCACTGGGTTTCCATCTGAATAGCTTCAGTCTATAAAGCTGATATGAAAATGCAGGAGAAAGAAAACATGGAAAGCTATCCTGGTGACCTGTGATCATCACTAGTGAAATTAAATTTTGGGCAAGAGATTAACCTTGGCCAGCTTTTCAATTTTTATGCAAACACTGGAGGGGTTTGTGGGAGGGGGGACTGTGAGATTAAGGAAGAGAACTGTATCCTTAGCTTTCTTCCACACATTGATAACAAATGTTTGCTGTGGAACACCCTACAGATCGATGCAGATTCTCTGAGTGAAGCAGAACCTAGGCCTGGAAGATGTTATTTTCTTAGACTACAGCTCCCATCAACCCCTCACACACACACCCAGAGCAGCACAGCTAGTGTCTATGCAGGTTGGGGATTCTGGGAATTGTAATCTGAAAATAAGCTCTGCAAGTAATATGAAACAATTTCTTTAGAGGTATCATACTAATGGATTTTTTTAAAAAGAAGAAATGTAGGATTTATTTTTTACACACCCATTGTCCGTCGAAATACAGAATGCAGTATATGATCTCATGCTGCTGCTCTTTAATTTGACAGGGAAGTTCAGAGAAGAATTCAAAATGGCCTTTTCTTGCTGCTGCTTTGGTCTCCGTCACCATCAGAACGACCAACTCAGAGGACGGACAAGCACAGAAAGTCGGAAATCCTTGACCACTCAGATGAGCCATTTTAATCATGCTACCAAATTCTCCGAACACGTTGCACTGGCCAACATAAGTGCACTGCCAACCAATGACACTGGGCCTCTTCAGGACTGGTAGCAAGCTGCCTTTCATGCCGTTCAACGTCTTTGTAAATTTAAGACCTGTTCATCCAGTTGTCCAAACCAGTGCACCTCAGACTAAAATGGAAAGTCAGACTGGGAACTCTCCAAAAGCCACATCGGCAGACAATGCCTGTTTTCTAAAAGAAGTCACAGTTTTATTTGGAAGCATATGTGATTTTCATAGTATTTGCTTTTCAGCTATGAAAAAAAATCATCAGCGGAAAGTATTAAATTATTTTTGTTTAATATTTTCTTTGATCTTCTATTGGGTCTGGTTCCTCAATAAAAATCCAGTTGTGTTTAGTACTTTGCTTCAATCTCAAAATACTAACTGTAAGCAAGGTGAAAGTATAACAATGGAATTACATTTCATATCCAATACGGGATTGTCTGCCCCATATCAACCTCTACCTCTCTCATTCTATATTTAAAAAACTGAAGAACACACAACCCTGAATCATGATATCATATCTAGATTCTCCATAAGTGAACCCATTCTCCAAGTGTTGATCTTTATGCAGCCAAAACAGCATTATCTGCACATGAAACAGAGAATATCACGCTTTGCGTAATCTGGGTAATCCACTTTTACAAAGGTAACAGAAGAGAGAGGGAGGGAGAGGAAGAGGATAGAGTGTGCGTGCACACCCACAAACATGGCCACATACAAAACATGGCTCAGACTGATGGGATAGTAATGGTCTATAACACAGGTGGAAGGGAAATGGAATGAACTATCCTGGCAAAGCTTGTTGAATATCATCATAACAAAGAACACATGTCAAAAATAAAATGTTACCAGGTGCCTGGACAAATTAGAAAGTGTTTCACTTATGATTGATAGATGATAAGACTGCAGCCTAATGAAAGGAATTGGATGACTATTCCGTAGTCTTGGTGCCGTCACTGAAATTGCCCTGTTTCTCAAAGGTACTCACAAGGTGAGTGACGTGAAGCACACATTAAATAGAAAAAAAATATTAGGGAGTGGGAGGTAGCCGTGTAAGTCTGCAGCAGCAAAAACAACTTTGAGTCTTGTGGTCCCTGAAGGAGTGACACACTTTGTTGGGCAGAAGCTTCTATGGACTGAAAATAGGAAATAGGCTACAGCTCACAGAAGCTCCTGCCAGACAGAACTTGTTATCCTTTAAGGTACCACAAGATGCTCTGATATTCACACTCAGTAGGTGGTGGAAAGACTGGTTCGGCATAGTCAGTATAAGGAATTGTCGGGACTGTAGTCCCAAATGCCAGAGGGGCAAAGTTGCTCCACATTTCTTTCTGAGTGAGATCCTTTCTGGTCATATTGTAGGCAGAAATGGTTTGAACTTCTGATAGCTTAGGTCCACTTGTCCCGTCAGCAAAAGAAAATGTTGCCTTATCTGGTTGTTTGTTTGTTTGGTGGGTGGGTGGGTTGGTTCATTTTGAAGACATCTGGGATGTCTGCCATGTTCACAATTGTACCTAGAGCAACTGCTCACATCTTGCTACCAAAGACCATCAAAACACCTGAAGGCAATACTGACAATCATTTCTCACCCACAATCACAGCTACCTAGGATAGCTTGTACCATAACACCAGCCAACTAGATGGGAAGAGGCCTCCCAAGGAAAAAGAAATCCAGTTTGCCCACCCACCAGAACTGCCTCCTTGGCAGTTAGAGGGGAAGAGGCCTCCCAAGGGGGAAAAAAACTCCAGTTTGCCCACCCACCAGAACTGCCTCTAAAGTGACTGAAGGCTGAAGCCCAGGAGCCAAGCTTGAATTCTCTCTTAAAGCAGAATAGTCTTCTTTGAGGAATGTCCCTGTTTTATGGTCCCTATCCAAGGCTTTAATCCTCTCTGCACTTGAAGAAACTCATATATATCTGGGGCACTTGCATGAAATTGCTTATAGGTCTATTGCTATACTTCAGCTCTCCCTACAAGCTTCATACAACTTTCCCCTTCTGTTCTTTCTGGCATTCTTGGTTTTGGGGGCAATGGAAGTGCACTGAGGTTCTCTTTATGTCCAAAGCCATAATTTGCTTCTACTGATCCAACCTCCCCATCCTTTCCAAGCATCACCAAAGCTTCAGGAATGTTTCTGCCTTTCCTGAATTGCCTTCACTGTCAAGGACTGTATAAAAGAGGGACGCAGAATCTGTAGCCTTCCAGAAGCTATTGGGCCCAACAACCTTTAAAAGGTAGCCCAGAGGGCTACCAATTCTTGGTCTTGGTTGCAAACCTGAGGTGTATGTGAGCTTTCCCTGTACTTAGTCTAATGCTCCCAAAACACTTCTGATTTTCTCACATCCACAGTGTTATCTGAGGTTCTCAGAATAACACTCCCTGCAGAACATCTCTCTGTGATCTTGGAAATATGGGGACATTTTTGGTGCCTCTTTGGTTGGCCGCACAAGCAGGATTATCCTGGTATGGACTGGGGATTTCATGTACTGTTAGCACAGCTACCTTTGATTTTCTTTATGCCTTGAATGCAGTGCGGTCCCCTTTTTAAAGCCATCCACGTTATGGCAGTTATCCCTGCACCCCTTCGTGGCAGCAAACTAAAGAGCTGACCTATGAACTGCGTGAAAAACATGAAGTGAAATGGTGGGGCAGAAGAACTGGATCTGCCTTGAAGCACCACTTCAGTTCTTCAGAATAAGTAGCCCCAGGGCTCCGGCATTATGAGGGCATGGGTCTCATCCTGAAGAGCTGAAAGAGGTTTCTTCCTTTAGCACGAGGGGAAAACATAGAAAAGTAGAGCTTTGTATTCTGTGAGGTCTTATTTGAAAGGATGAAAAACAAAACAAAAAGTTTTGGGGGGAAAACACCTGCTTGTCGGCATTAAACCTGAGTAGTAATGTCCAAACGGGAGCAGAACGTTTCCCTGACCGGATATTCAGTAAGGAGGCTGTTCAAGTCATTTGCAATAGAGATGATCAGAGGCGACTTTGGAAGCAGAAGCAGGTGAGAACTGCACGGGAGCCGGGGGGGTGGGATATGACGGACGGTCGCTCCGGGATACGGAGAGCAGAGGGGTGGGGTGGGGGGGAGTCCCGCAGGAAGGGCTCATTCTTGTCAGTGGCAAGCTGGACCAATCGGAGGCGTTGGCGGCGGACAGAGTGCTGTCCAGCCCAGCTTGGTGCTGAAATCGCACGGGCGTGATTGAAGGCGACGGATTCCTGCCAGCCATCCAGTGTCTCCGTGCTGCTCAACTTGCTCCCAGTCAATAATCTCTTGTGCCGCCCGATGCGATGGATCGTGCTCTCTGGATCTCCATGGGTAAGTTGCCTTTTAAGCCGGATCTCCCATGTGCTGACTCAGAAATGAAGTCCCATTGGGTTTTACTGAAACAAGTTCCCAACTCGCTGTGATTAACTTGGGAGAGGTGGGAAGAGGGCAGCGTTGGGAAAAGTTTGTTATTTTGACTACATACCCCTGAATCCTACATATAGCCGTGGGGAGTAATGGGCTGTGTAGGCAAAACACACACAAACCCTCTAACTTGTTCAAGCTCTTGGAAGGAGATGAACTTTGATTGCACCAGAGTGCCATTACCTATTATTTATCACGTTCCTTGATGCATCTATTCTTGATCAACCAAGTACTGTATCCTTCTACACAAGACAATGGAGAGTGACTGGTAGCACTTTGTCTACAGAGATGGGTTGATTCTAGATCCCTGAGCTAAACCAGACACTTCCAATTGGTTCTGCAAGTTTTCAGCCTCTAACCTGAATTTTACTTTAGAGATCCTAAGATGTCAGCATCTAGCCAAGATAATTTTTCAGTTTCGCCTTCCCTCCTCTGCAGTTCCCAACCGAAGAAACGGTTCTGTAGGACTTGAAACCTTTTCTGATTTTGATACTTTACTGGTCTGATAAAAATATTACGCATCATTGCTTTTACCATTTCCATGCATGTATGCTCTGTAAAGGAAAGAATTTAGTCTGTTCCAAATTAAGGTTTCTTTTTATCCTCCTCTCCTACCCCTGTTGAACATTAATAAGTTGCTGTGATGGCTAGGTTGCCTCTTTTTTTAAGAATGCTTTTTCTTTTCCCTCTCTTTCCCTTTTTCTGACTGTCAGGTGAAACTGTTTAGACTATAAATATTCTTCTAGGTTTGAGGAAGGAGCAGCTGGGTTTAGACACACAGAATGTCCAGGGAAATACATATATCTTTTTGGACCTTTCCTATAGTCTGTGCATATTCATGATATGTGCATGCACATTCCTTAAAATCTAATCTCTTCCTTCATGTGCATCATTTTTGCACACCCAGTTTATTTACTTGACAACATAGTTTTCTTGTATTAGCCACCAATGGTGCAGTGAAATCAGGTCTCCCAGTTGTCAAAGTACCAAGAGATTGTAATAAGCAGGATAGTGGTAATATCTGGCACCCACTCTAACTTCCCTGTTTCCTCTGAGCTCAGAGGCAATGCTGACAGATATTGGTGGGAACAGAGATTTTCTTAGCAACAGTATATTGTTGTGAGCCATTCTTACCATTTCCCCAAAAATAAGACAGGGTCTCGTATTAAGTTTTGCTCCCAAAAATGCATTAGGGCTTATTTTCAGGAGATGTTTTATTTTGCAGTCATGTCATCTTCTGGTTGCTGCACAATGGTGGAGGGCAGGGTTTCACTTAATTATGGCTTATTTTTGGGGTAAGGCTTGTATTTCAAGCATCCTGAAAAATCATACTAGGTCTTATTTTTGGGGAAACAGGGTACTGTAAGACAGAGTATCTTGACGTACCTTGCTCCTCAGTGGACAATTAAGAGCTGTTAAATTCACAAAAGACCTGTTTCTGAAGGAGGTGAAAGCTGCTAGAACTGATTATTGAAATGGAACGTTCCAACTGCTTTTATTTTTGTTCCATCTTTAAACGTTTGTCTGCAGATACTCTCGGAATGAGTTCAATACTACTTAGTACTATTACCTAGTACTAGTGTTCTCATCTGTGTAAGTAATAACAATACATACTCCTGGTAAATGATTTCTCTAAAGATCCAGTATAAACAATTTTGCTAGGTCAATTCAGAGAGCCTGGACATACACCTAACTCCTAAACAAACATTCTTCTTTATCCACCCTCAACCACCATTCTCCTGCCCAAACTCCAAAACTCTCTCAACTCTCTAACACTCCAATTCTCCACCTCAAAACCCTATCTATGTCTTATCTAAACTCCTCCTGCTGCTGCTGAGTCTCTTATACCTCATGACTCCGCCCCTCCAGCACTCCCATTGGTCTTTACAAATAGCATATGAATATTCATGACCTTGGCAAATGCCACACTGGTGCTCTACAAATCCTTTCAATGTCCATGAATCCTGTGGTTTTCTAGTTTCTAGAGACGTGATTGGGAAATTCTTCCTATATTCTTGGTTTGGCTGGAAATAGCGAGATGTTGGGTCAGCAGGTGCTGGCTTCACACTTGAATGCTAAGGTGTGTTTGTTTGACTTTATATGTTCCCTCTCCCCCTAGTTCTAGAGATAACAATTTCCTCTGTAGAAAATCAATATACAGTATAGATACACATGCAAGGACACCCACCATATGAATAATCATATATACTGATCTACCTGACTCTGCAAATAGCACCAGACCACATTGGCCTCCCATTGACAGCAGGATGACTGGTGTCTGTTATATAGTCCTGCAAGTGGGACAGCTTTTTAAAATGAACTGGCTCTTGTTTGCTGAGTATAAAGCCTGAATGCCTGCAAAGCCAGAAGGAGAATTATGGTTATCATTGACATTTTCCTTTGGTCTGGATTGGAGATGGGATGAGGAAGGAAGAAGAGTTAAACAGACACACAGGAAACCATAGGGCAAGAATGGGCCATTGTATTCCCACACAATCCATTTTTAAAAAGTTGTGCTTCTAGTATTTTCACCTGATTGCTAAATGAATCAACAAATCCTCCAGAAAAGACAAGTAGATCTATTTCACAGTGCAGATGGCTGGGAAGTTTCATCCCATGTAGGCTGTGTTGAGTAGGGTCAGTTTTTCACAGACAATTATATGAGGATTTGTAATTAGCAAATGTTAGTAAATATTAGTAAAATCAGATTTAAAAAAACAATCAAAAACACTGCAAATCTATTTGTGTCTACTCAGAAGTGCACCCTATCTATAAGTGGCTGCTTGCAGAAACCCAAGGAATGCCAAAGTGCCCAATTCTGCCTGGCCATCTATGCATGCCCTAGGGTGTGATCAGGCAGCTGCAAACACTCACTTTAACAGGAGCAATCTCCCTTAAAGCGACCCTTCTGTCTGCCTGGGAATTGCTTCAGTCTGATTCCCAAAAGTAGAAGCCATCCAGCTAGACCAAAAAGGTCCAGTCGGGGCATGGGTCGGGGTCAGGACAGTTGGAGTGCATTTGCCCAGCAGGACAAGGAAAGAGGCCACACCAGGCTGCTCCACAAGTTGTTGTTTTGACTTGCCTACTGCCCCATAGTGCCAGAGCACTCTTTAGGTGGTTTACCACATAGCTATGCAAACAACAAGGGACGTGGTGGCGCTGCGGGCTAAACCACAGAAGCCTGTGCTGCAGGGTCAGAAGACCAAGCAGTCGTAAGATCGAATCCACGCGACGGAGTGAGCGCCCGTCGCTTGTCCCAGCTCCCACCAACCTAGCGGTTCGAAAGCATGCAAATGCAAGTAGATCAATAGGGACCACCTCGGTGGGAAGGTAACAGCGTTCCATGTCTAAGTTGCACTGGTCATGTGACCACGGAAGATTGTCTTCGGACAAAATGCTGGCTCTATGGCTTGGAAGCGGGGATGAGCACCGCCCCCTAGAGTCGAACACAACTGGACAAAAAATTGTCAAGGGGAACCTTTACCTTTACCTTTATGCAAACAACAAGTTACCCAGATTGCAAGCTATGTCTCCATGTGATCACACCCATAGCCCTCTATTAGTTATTTTAAACACAACTTTGTTGCACTTCCTCTGACAAGGCAGAAATTCAATGCAGTGCCTACTTTCTTCTTATCAGCTCTAGCAGCAGGTGTGAACTAGCAATGAGCTGCCCTTACGAGCCAAAATACTGTCAAAGGGCTGGCAATGGACCTTGGGCTTCAAATATCACTTCATTTCTCTAGCCAGTTACATTCTCTGTTGCTTTCATGGCAGATTCATGTTTGTGTGATACCATCAGGCTTTATCTGGTTTATAGGAACTCTAACAGAGGTTTTAAAGCAAGTGAGATTAATTTAAGGAGAGGTTTGTACCGTTGCTAACAATCAGTGAATTTTCATGACCAAGTGGGGACTTGAACCCAGGTCTCCTGAGTATCTCAGGTGCAGAATGGAGGCACTCGTGTCCTTTCAGACTTTGTAAGAATTAATTGCATGTATTTGTACAGAGGGGTGTCACTGCTTTGTTTTACCAAGCATTAAAATCTCTTGTCAGTGCAAAAACTCTCTTTACATGGAAGATGACTTTGTAGGCATACAGGAGCCACAGTAAACTTCAGTTGGGAAGAAATGGCATTTTCACTCTATGAGCTGGGACATTTAATGCGATAAAAACCACAAAGCCAGCCGCTGAGATACAAAATGCACCCTATGAAAGTAAAATTTCAAGAACCAGAACACTGTAGTGTTCTATTTCTCTATCCTTCTTCTTGGATGGGCTGCTATATGTACTTACCAGGGAGAAAACATCTCCGAATCCCCTGCGATTGTCTTCTGAGCAGACCTGTGTACAATTTAGCTGCAAATCAAAAACTGCATCCAAGGCCACATTTCTCAAAGTGACAGCCTCTGGATATGTTAGACTACAATAACCATCATCTCAATCTCACACGGCTGAGGACCAGGGATTGTGATGGTTGTACTTTGGAACATCTGAAGGGGCATCAAACTGGGAATCATTGCTCTGCAATTTCCCCTGAAATCAATAACTGAGTTTAAAGCAAGTGCAATGAGGAAGAAAAGCAAGAATGAGAACCAGGAGAATAGATCGGGGCCTATTGGAAAAAAAGAGTGGGTGAAAGCCAATACTGAGTCACAACTGAATCAGTGGGGTTTGGTGAGTCAAAACCCATGTAAGTTCCACTGATTCAAGTTACATTGATTCTAGTTGCAATTGTATCTCTGGCCTTAATATGGTAAATAGGAAAGCCAATTAGATTTGCACAAGCCTTGGAGTTAGGAAAGTTTTAAGGATCAGATCATACTTTTGCACCATTAAAGAGCAGGCCGGGTAGGTGGGGCTCGTCAGCCATGGAAGGGCAGCCCACCTAGGAGAAGGAAAACTCCGATTTCAAATCTCCACTGCCTTGTGGCCGTATCCACTGATGGAAGAGGCTTCAGGAGATAACCTCGAGGCAAAATGTGGAGCCGGAGTTCCGGAGGCAGCATGTGTCGTTCTGCCAACTCCTGCGACGTTGCTGGAACCAGTTGTATTGGCTCTTGCCTTTCCATTGGATCATTTCAGCAATGTGGAGAGGGGGGATCTGCTGCTTGGGTAACAGCCTATCCTCCATATTACAGTACCTTACCCGGGCTTCATGCTCTGGAGAGGACACTCCTCGATTCAGAGCATGTTACCATAGTCTCTCGAGACTGAAGGATGCCTATACTATACTATAGTTGCAACTTACCACTGAATTTCTGGCATTGAGTGTCTGTTCCTCAGTCCAATGAAACTGGGGGATTTGAAATGTGAAATTCAAGAAGTATGACTCTATTTAATATATAGGTAAGTTTCACATTCTCTCTGCCCCCCCCCCCATTTACTATTCTCAAGCAAAGGCTCACGCCGCGTTCTCTCTTTGCTGCCACCAGTGGATTACTTCAACCCACAATATAAATGATGTATGTCTGAACACATGTCATGTGAACAAAACAAAACTTATTTATTGAAGTGAAGCAGAATGAATATGTAATAACAGAGTCTTTAAAGTTCAGTGGTGCCTCAACTTACGAACATCCCAACTTACAACCATTTCAAGTTACCAACAGCTGGACTTGTGGGGAAAAAAGGCAGGGAAGGCGGGGAAAGCAGGAAATGTGAACTGCTTTCAGTTAACCGTTGGTCAGCGAAGAGGTTGCTTCTCTGTACCTTGTTCGCCCCAGCGGTTAGAGAGTGTGGATATGGAAAGAGACTTCAGACTGCCGGGTACTTGCCTGGTACTGTACTGTACTCTTTTTTAAATTGCTTTTTGGATTTTTTTTACTTTCTTTTTTAAAACAGAGAAACTGCCTGTTCTGGGTGAGTCCTGTATGTACTGTACAGGGTTTTTGCAACTTGGGTTTGAGCCAGGTGAGAGGGTTATGTTTCTGTGCTCTGATGGGTCTTGCAGTGTGGGTTTAAAATGTGAAAATTAGACTGTAATATTAAATTAAAATTAAATGTGAAAATTAGATTGTAATTTTAAAATGTAAAATTAGACTGTTTGCTGAGGTCTGTTTGCTAGAATAATGGCTGCTGGATTGATTGATTGATTGATTGATTGATTGATAGATTGATTGATTGATTGATTGATTTTTGCATTCTGTGGCTCCTAGGGTTTGTGTACTGTGACCTCTCTTTTGTTTTAAAATGTGTGGGTTTAAAATGTGCCTCCAAAGTCTTTTTGTTTTAAAATCAGAAAATTTTCTCTGAAGGGCTCTGTTTGCTGGAATGGTGTAAAATGTGGTTTAGACTCCAAACTCTCCCCCAATTGTTTTTTCTCTCCCTCTATCTTCTTTCTTTTTGTGCTTAACAGCACAAACCTTTGTTTGAGGGGTCTGTGTACCCCAGTGATGACCTTCTTTCTTTCCTCTTTTCCCCATTGTTCCCTCTCTCCTTTCCTGCCCTTTTTTTTGACCTAAGCCATCTTAGGTTAAAAGAAGAAAAATTCTCCCCCTAGTGGTAGTTGTAGATTAATCGCTTTTGCATTCATTCCTCTGGGAACGAATGCTTCAAGTTGCAACTGGCGCCTTGAGATACAACCAAAAAACAGGCGGGATGGATTAATCAGGTTTCAGTGCACTTCAATGGAAAATGGTGCTTCGACTTATGACCTTTTCGAGTTACGACCATCTTCTGGAACGGATTAAGTTCGTAAATCGAGGCACCACTGTACTCAGCGTTTGCAAGCATTTCGTCATCAGTTCCCTCAGTACATAGTTTTCTCAGCTTAGAATCTCATTACCGCCCCTCTCTACCTATCTCCATAACCACCCTATCTGACCCCTCATTTCCAGCCAAGTCTCATGTAGCTGCTGACTCCACTTCTCCAGCCCTCTCATAGGTTTATGTAAATCAGCTCATGAATATGAGTGTCATGAGTGACATGGGTGGTTGCCACAGTAAGTACTCCAGTTTCCCCTTCCATGCTGCATACCAGCCTTTCCCAATCTGGGCCCTGCACATGTCTTAAACTGTTGCCTCTTAATCCCCCATCAGTATGCCCAGTGGGACAAGCTGGGAAAGCCTGCTATGTAACATGCATCTGTCTTGAAGGACTGTGCTGATGGATGGTACTTCCCCCTGCTCTTCATGAGTCCTCCCCACCCATCCATACCACTTATATCACAGCTCAACCCATGCGGCCGGTCATCCATGTAGCATTATCAGGGCTTGGAGAAACTGCTGTTGGGACAAGGGGACAGGTCATCCCCTTTGCCAAGACTCATCCCAAGTACCTAAATCTGGACTCCACCCTATGTTACCTATTTTGCAGTATTGGTGCTGTTTTCTGTGAATACATCTGCTTCCCAGACCCAGCGATCCCAGTGCCAACAGCTGAGACAGAAGTGCATGGCTGCAGACAATGGATGTGAAAGTGTCTGGAATTTACTGGAGGAAGTTTGCTTCAGCACAGGTAACTATGAGGAAATCATAGTTTTTCTTTGGACTAGCAGATACACCATCTTCCATGCTCTATCCGTGTCTGTAAAATGCACACTAAACTAAGGTTCAACTAAATTCCTTAAAACTAGGGAGACGCATGTCCCTACCACACTCCTGCCTTCCCTATGGACTTCATTGGTAATTGGGATGCTAAACTCTTCTCCCCCTTTTTTGGGGTGTGTGTATATATATATGAATATATATATATATTCATGGATAACTACAGCTACTGTCTTCAGAACCATTATCAGTACAGTGGTGCCCCACTTAACGACGATAATCCGTTCCAGGAAAATCGCCAGTAAGTGAAAACATCATAAAGCGAAATAAAAAAAAACCCATTGAAACGCATTGAAACCCGTTCAATGCATTCCAATGAGCTAATAACTCACCGTCCAGCAAAGATCCTCCATATGGTGGCCATTTTAGCTGCCTGTATAGCGAGGAATCCGTCCCTAAACACATTGGGGAGCCATTTTAATTACCCGATGGCCATTTTGAAACCGCCGATCAGCTGTTAGAAAAACATTGTTTTGCGAAGAATCGATTCCCGAAGCAGGGAACCAATCATCGCAAAGCGAAATCCCCCCATTTAGACCATTGTTTTGCGATCGCAATTGCGAGCACAAAAAGATCGCCGTAAAGCGGATTCATCGTAATGCGGAGCAATCGTAAAGCGAGGCACCACTGTATCTACTGGAAAATTGCTATACAGATATTTTCAGGCTTTCTCAGATTTTAACAGATTTATTTATTTATT